AAACTTAAGTCAGTGGCAGTAGGGAAGGAGGAGAGGGAGTGATGGATTTCACGAAAGTTTAGGCTATATAATTGATGAGGCTCAATGAATTTGCAGGGTGTGTGTGTGCAGGACACATGAGATGAGGGAAGACGGGAGTCCAAGGTGACTTGCAGGCTTCTAGCTGGAGGTTGGTGATTGTATACGCGGTAGTGTCAGTTTTTGAGATAAACAAGAAGAAACAGCTTATTTGGTGGTGGTGGTAAGGGTGCATGAAAGGGAGATTAATTTCAGGGTGGTAAGGATGCACAAGAGGGAGATAAGTTCAGTTTTATTTATTTTTTATTTGCATACATTTAAGGGATTACAAGTGCAGTTTTGTTGCGTGGGTATGTTGAGTAATGAAGTCTGGGCTTTCAGTGGAACCATCATCTGAATGATGTACATTATGATGTACATTAAGTAATTTCCCATCCTTTACCCCCCTCCCACCCTTCTGAGTCTCTAATGCCTATTTATTTTTCCACACTTTCTGCCCATGAAGTTCAGTGTTAACCATGTTGTGTTGGAGATGCTTTTTGAGTGGTGCTTGGCTTATGTGTATATTTTGCTCTGCAGCTACAAATTTGGAAGTCACTAATTTAAGAAGTACGGCATGAGAAATCCCAACTGTAGATGTTTTGGTGTAGGAAGAGTAATTAATACCAGGTAAAAAAGAGGAATCCAAGGAACACTGATGTTAAAGGAAGTGGTAGAAGAAAAGTGAGGAAAGGCCGGGCGTGGTGGCTCACGCCTGTAATCCTAGCTCTCTGGGAGGCTGAGGCGGGCGGATTGTTTGAGCTCAGGAGTTCGAAACCAGCCTGAGCAAGAGCGAGACCCCGTCTCTACTAAAAATAGAAAGAAATTAATTGGACAACCAAAAATATATAGGAAAAAAAAATTAGCTGGGCATGGTGGTGCATGCCTGTAGTCCCAGCTACTCGGGAGGCTGAGGGAGGAGGATCGCTTGAGCCCACGAGTTTGAGGTTGCTGTGAGCTAGGATGACGCCACGGCACTCTAGCCCAGGCAACACAGCGAGACTCTGTCTCAAAAAAAAAAAAAGTGAGGAAAGGTCAACTTATGTTCAAATCTGTTATCATTGCTTAGTCACATGGCCCCTTAATTCATCTCTATCACATTCTTTATTCTGCTCACCCGGAGGTGTAAAACACTATACCAAAGGACCAAACACCATACTATCTAGGGTGTTTCTTCTGAGGATAGAATTGTTCTGGTTATACTAATCAGAATAAATCTTTTTTCTTTTTTTTTTTTGAGATGCAGTCTCGTTCTGTCAGCTGGGCTAGAGTGCCGTGGCGTCAGCCTAGCTCACAGCAACCTCAAACTCCTGGGCTCAAGGCATCCTCCTGCCTCAGCCTCCTGAGTAGCTGGGACTGTAGGCACACGCCACCATGCCCAGCTAATTTTTCTATTTTTAGTAGAGATGAGGTCTCGCTCTTGCTGCTCTCGAACTTCTGACCTCAAGCAATCCTCCCGTCTTGGCCTCTTAGAGTGCTAGGATTACAGGCGTGAGCCACAGTACCTGGCCCAGAATAAATCTTGCTAAAATTAAGAATCAAGACTGCTGAAGACCTATGGAAAGTTATTGACCTAACACTACTTCATGCCAAGTATTATGCTAAACAGTGGCAGTACAGAAATAACAAAGGAGTTCTTTGTTACCAAGGAATTCACAATATAGTTGAGAATTTACTGGGCAGTACAAAGTAAGCAATGATAATTGGTTGTATGTATGTTAATTGTGGTGTGTTATAATACTTGATAATTTCTAACTGCTGAAATCCATTATATTTTTCCTCCCTTCTCTCCCTGTCTAGCTTTGTTTTTGCCTTCCTTTGTGTTACTCACAGTTCCTCTCCGAGTTTTTTTGGGGGGGGGGCATGCCGCTTGTTAACCATCTGCAATGCAAGTTAAAAAATATTTTAAAGTGTTTTTGTTATTTACATGCAAGTGGCTAGGGCATTTATTATATCATGGGGGAAAAATCTTTGAATAAAAATCCTAACCTGTTATACCTCTCAAAATCTTAGTGAAAATCATTAATCATTGAAGGGGAAAAATGTTTTCCAACTGATTTAGGAGAACTTATATGAATTTTTAAGGACTTTATAACTTCTGTTTATTGTAGATTTTAATTCCAGAGAGCTGGTGATTGAACTTTTAGCATTTACAAAGGAAGAGATTTCAGATGAGAGAGCCAGACGGGAGGTATATACTTTGTAGGAAGATACAAGTATTTAAATATAAAAGTTGCTTCTAACTTCCTTATTTTATGTCAGAGGGACTGTTGTTAGTTGAGGATTCTTAAGTCATTTAACTTAAGTGCTGAAATACTTAATGGATAATAAGTATTTTATCCATTAAGGAGGAAAAATGTTCTTCACACTCAGGCTGTTCACCTGCCCTTACGTCTGTGATAATTTCTGGTATCTCCGGACAGTGGTTAACGCCAGCTCCGGAATCTCCTGCTTGGGTTTGCCTGACGCTCAGCTCTACTGTCATAGGTGTGATCCTGGAAAGTTATTTTTTCTCTCCATACTTTAATTTTCTCATCTCTGAAATAGGAATAGCGATCACGTCTACCTCTTAGGGTTGTTACGAAAATGAAAATGAACTAATGAATGTAAAAGCACAGAGTGCCTAGTACATAGTAAGCATATAAGTCATAACAATAGTAATGATATTTACTCTTGCCATTACATTGGCATCTTTCTGAATGCCTGACACCAGAAGCCAAAATTTTGAAGTCAAAAAAAGGTTTTTTTTTTTGTTTTTTTTTTTTGATCCCCAACCTAAAGAAACACTAAGTTAAATTTATGGATTTTTGGCTTCTAAGGATATAGTGAAAATATGGGTGGCCACTTGGTGTATTTAGGAATAAGAATTTACCTGTTTTTTAAGCTTTATTCCTTTATTAGTTTTTTGATGCCTACTAAGGAGTAATCTATCCTACTGTATATTTGGAATTCCGTGTGGTCTTTTTATGCAGGTATTAGATTATGACAGTGACAGCCATTAGTTCACTAACTTTTAGAGCAAACAAAACAGCCATCCTATGTACGAGAGGTAACGTAGCTGGGACTACAGGCATGTGCCACCATGCCTGGCTAATTTTTTCTATATATTTTTAGTCGTTCAGCTAATTTCCTTCTATTTTTAGTAGAGACGGGTCTCACTCTTGCTCAGGCTGGTGTCGAACTCCTGAGCTCAAACAATCCACCCGCCTCGGCCTCCCAGAGTGCTAGGATTATAGGTGTGAGCCACCGTGCCCAGCCTAGAGATTTATTTTAAGGAATTGGTTTATGTGGTTGTGGGGGCCTGACATATCTGAAATCTGTTGGGCAAGCCTGCATGGAGGAGTTGAGGCTTCAGTCTCAATTTCTTCTGGAAATTCTCAGTTTTTCTCTTTAAGGTCTTTCAGTGGATTGGATTAGGCCCACCTATGTTACGGAGGGTGATCTCCTTTCCTGAAAGCCAGTTGATTATGGATGTTAACCATATCTACGAGATACTTTCATGACAACACTTAGTGTTTAATTAAATAACTGGAAACCATAGTCTAGCCAAGTTGACACATAAAACTTAGTAACACACTGTTCTTCCATGTGTACGTCTTGAAGTCTCTAGGGCAGGGACTTGGCCTAGAGAAAATCTTCAGTGATAGTTTATACACACACTTAATGAAATGTGCTAATATTTTCCATTCTTATTCTTTTTTTTTTTTTAGAAAAGCTGATGGGGGACCCAATAAATTAATATCAAGAGGTCTGACAAGCAATTTGAAAAACATTGCTGTTGCATATATATCATGTCAACAAATGGAATTGCTGGGTTGCAGGCTGTCTTTACTTCATCCTTCTCATACAGTGCTAGATTTCTCCCTGAAGTAGTTGTACAACTACACATTCCCACTAGCAGTGTCAATTCCCTTTTTTCTCCCCCTTGATGGCAACTGTTAATTTCAATTTCCTTATCATCTTTCTAATTACTCCAGATAGGTGTGGGCTTATTTTTTAAGATCTGTAACATTTGGTGATTGACTTTAAACAAAGAGAGCAGTCTCAGAGTTAGCACCTTCAGCAGACATCAGTATCTACCCGGAAATTAATGACATTGCTTTGTTTTCATTGTCTTTATATTTTTCACTTTTCATGTAGCTAAACTGACTAATTTTTGGTCTGTATATTTGTGAGTGTTAAGACATGTATACAGTAGTCCACCCTTATCTACAGGGGATACATTCCAAGACCCCCCAGTGGATGCCTCACACCACGGATAGTAATGAACCCTATATGTACTATGGTTTTTCCTATAGTACATACCTGTGATAAAGTTTATATTATAAATTAGGCATAGTGAGAAATTAGCAACAACTAATAATAAAGTAGAACAATTACAACAGCATGCGAGCATCATTCCTCTTGTGCCTTGGGAACTTTATTATTAATAAGTACAATATGCCAGATGCGGTAGCTCATGCCTGTAATCCCAGCACTTTGAGAGGCCGAGTAGGATTGCTTGAGACCAGGAGTTCAAGACCAGCCTGGGCACCATAGTGAGACCCCCATCTCTATAAAAAATAAAAAAATTAGCTGGGAGTGGTGGTGTGTGCCTGTAGTCCCAGCTACTTGGGAGGCTGAGGCAGGAGGATCATTGTGAGCCCAGGAGTTCAAGGGTACAGTGTGCTAGGATCACACCACTGCATTCCAGCTTGCACGACAGAGTGAGACTCTGTCTCAAAAAAAAAAAAAAAGGGAAGTGGGGTAGGAAAGAACTTGTGGGCTCTCCCACCCCATCCTCCTGACCTGATGTTAAGTGTGTGGTTCCATTGGGGCAGATGTAGGTAAAGGGTGGGTGATGTCATGTTCTGAGGTTTAAAAGACAAGAAGCATGTTGCTTATTTATTGCTTTTTATATCTGTTAAAGTTTAATAAAAATATTCTTTTTTCTTTCTACGAAGGCAAATTGGCAAGACGCAGTCAAGAACGTGACAATCTTGGCATGTTGGTCTGGTCACCTAATCAGAATCTGTCAGAAGCAAAACGTAAGTCTTAAAACACGTTTATTTTCCACCTTTCCTATTTAACGTAAAGTTTTAAAGGCACCTTTATGGCTGAAAGGTCCTATTTATGTTACATTTCTCTTATACTTTAAAATAACTTGAAGAGTTCGAAGTGTGTATTTCATTACTGTGCTCTGTCATAGTGAATTAAAGATTCCTAACCTATGGTTAAATATTATCTTCCATGTTTTTCAAAATGCTGCATAAGGTGGGGTGTGGTGGCTCACACCTGTAATCCCAGTGCTTTGAGAGGCGGAGGCAGGAGGATTACTTGAGGCCAGGAGTTTGAAACCAACGTGGGCAGCATAGCAAGACTCTGTCTCAGTAGAAAAATTAGCTGGGCATGGTAGCGCATGCCTATAGTCAAAGCTAATTGGGAGGCTGAGGTGGGAAGATCACTTGAGCCCAGGAGTTCAAGGTTACAGTGAGCTATGTTGGTTCCACTGTACTCTACCCTGGGTGACAGACCCCTGTCTCCTAAAGGAAAAAAAAAAAAGGAGCTACATAAGCTAATACTGAAGTAACTAAGAGAAAAGGCTCAGAATGGAAAGAAAATTTTAATGCAGCCTGTAACTCCCTCAGCTGGGACTTTACAGATCTATAAAGACAAAGAGTTAAGTTTTAATTTGAAGGATTACAAAGGACAGATACATGTCACTGGAAATAGGACTTAAAATGTAGGACATGAGGTTAACTGGAACTGCAGTTTTTGAATTGGCTATTTGACAGTGTTTAAAATTTTATTAGGGTAAATATTCTGAGCTACGTTTTCTTTTGAGGGTAGGGGTCCTGTAGCCATTAATATTAGTTGTATTTTCTCTCTCCTCTGCTCAAATGATACCGTGCAAGATTAATTTTATACCTAATATATTAGTACAAGTCTTTGCCATTTTCAAGGTCTCTGTTGTCTTCGTAACTTAACAAAGCAAAGACAAACTAAATCCCCGTTTGGGAAATTTTCAGTGGGAGGCCCATGGATGGCATTTATATAGGTTTGTTAACTAACAAGCAAAGTTTTTGATGTAAAGTGCATTTTTCTGGTGAGGAAAGAACATTGGATCCACAAAGGGATCTTTGAAAAAAAATAGATTAAGAATCATTCCTCTCAAACACTGTAGCACTTAGAAAGCTACCAGTGGTAAATGTGCATAGGCAATCTGTGAAATTGTGAGTAACTCAGAGAATTCTGAGGCTTTGATTAGGATTTTCCAGGTTATGTTTTGCAGCATTAAAATAGGTGTGAACAGGATTCCAGTGCCAAATGAGTGTGAGATGATGCATGTTCACTGTCTTCCTCTTGCATATTGACAGTCTGTGTTTGTATATTTAAGGTGCTGAGAGCTTACATTATAAAGAAGCATGTTTAATTTTGACCTCAAAGTATCCATTTTTTTGTATGATACTCTTCATAAAGCATGGAAAATCCAAGTACTTTTAGTAATGTTAATCTTAGCAATGTTAAGACTCTTCTCAATCTAATCTGATTTTTTAAAAAAGATTATCTTAATTTTACCACTATCAGGCTGCTGTTTTATGAGTTTTTGATGAAGAATAGACTAATGAGGCCAGACGTGGTGGCGCGCGCCTGTAGTCCCAGCTACTCGGGAGGCCGAGACGGGAGGATCGCTTGAGCCCAGGAGTTCTGGG